AATACAGTGCAATCCTCATTGCTTCTCTCTTTCTTGCTCCTGTACTGATGCATTCATCATACTGATGCAGTATGGCCAATGTTTATCTTATTATCTAAAGCTCCTCTTCATGTTGTCTTCAGTTATAAATACATCCTCCATCTGTCCATGGTGTCAAATAGTTCATGCTTTGACATGGATGAAAAGTAAGACTCACTTCTGCCCAGATAACCTTGAAACAGTACAAGTCTTCCAGAATTCAGCAGAGGCATTGAAAGCACATCACCACTGTCCCTTTGAGCTCTGGGATACAGGCTGTTGACATTGTTATTTGTTAAAGTGTCCTGGAGTCTGTTCACCATGGGCTTTGCCATACTAGTGACAGAGAAGGAGCACATTTCCTTGTGTGGGTCATTTCCTTTCAATAGATGTAGCCAGTGTTGATGCTGATGGCTGGTTTAATTGCTTGCTCCCCTGCCAGGGAGATGATTTCTTGTGTAGGGGGACTTGGTGGCAGCAAGAGCAACTTCACGCCGGTTCTCTCACACCTTGAGAGCTTTCATCAGAAAGAATGGTCTTTTCTTCCTGCTCACACCTTACCAAAGAAAAAGAGACATCTGTGAATACCTCTAGGTTTTGCCATAGCACAAACGTGCAATAGGAAGCTCATGAACTTCAGCATTATAGACCATGGTTCTGGTGCTAGACTATTTGTAGAGTTTTTGCATGACAGCAAAACGTCTGGATAACACAGCAGTAGAAACTCTAATAAACTTCAGATGGAAAATTATTTAATGGAGTAGCTTTCCTTCAAAAATGTCATTCTGTCACAATCAAAAAGCTTTGTGAAACTATTATTTTTACCAAGGTACTAAGGTTTGGGTTTTTATGAGGAAAAAATGCCAGCAATTTTTTGGAACAAAACATTCAGATTTTTGATTTTATATAGTATACGCATTTTTAATAGTTGTAATGATCTAAATAAGCCAAAACTATTTATTTTTGTGGAATTTTCCTTTGTGGGGAATTTCAACATTTTGAGGTTTTGTTCTGAATTGGAAGGAAAACAAATTTCAAAATCTCAAAATCGTCTGTGAAACACAATTTCCATTCCCTGGCCAGCTTCAGTTTCAGGCTAGAACATGTGTAATAGCTCCCCTGCAGGGAAGCCCTTTAGGAAAAATGCCTCTGAATGAATTTATTGGTGCAAACATATAGTTTTGAAGATTTTAAAGGTCTATTTGTCCAAGCACACACCTCACTTCTGAAAGCTCCTCTAAGTCACAAGAAGCCTCCAGAAGTTCCCAAAAGACTTACTTCTGAAGGACACTGCTAACTTTGTACAGTTGATGGGGGCCATTTTCTGGTATTGATATTAGTCTCAATTATAGTTGTCACTTATTTTCCCAGAAGTGGTAGCATAACTGCATAACTATTTTCTTGTCCAGCTTTAGCTGGATTGCTTTTAATAGTTTAAACTGGAGATTATAAGAGTCATATTACATTTTCAAGGTAGGTGTTGTGTGTTCAGATTGAAATATTAATACAACTGAGTTTATATTCTAGAATATTTAGGTGGATTTAAATATTTACAGCCTTAGCAAATAATTCCACCTCAAAAACACCTTACAAATAAGATGACTTCCACTTTCAGGTGTAAAGGACAAATTAATTATTAGGGACACTGATGGAGACCTGCTGTAAGTGCTGTTTTCAAGTGAGTTACTTTGGATTTACAGTGACATAAATGAGATCATAGGCCAATCTGTTCACAGCAGCTTTATACATCACAGGGGTGTGAAGAAGCCTAATGCTGAGATGAATTAACATAAAAATAGATTGTAAGTTAATCACATACTATTAAAAAATACCAGCCCTGCATACCATGGTTTTGGGTGGGCTTTTTTGCTAGCTTTTTCTAATGGTGTTTTACTGGAGGGGAGTTGGTATGCACTGTGCTGATGTACTATGGAGAATGTCTCCTCTCCTCCAGAAAGCAAAGGCTTTGTGTCAAGGTGAAAGCTGAACTAAACACACACTCTGCAGTCAAAGTTTGTTTATAACTCCTGACTCTGCTGGGTCAGTTATGCGGCAGTTTCACTAAACAAACAAGTAAAAAGCCGGTCAATGTCCAAATACTGGCGTGCTGCTTATTTAATCTGCTTCAACAGTTGTTGGAGGAGTAAGGCTGCAAATGAAACAAACTGCCTCTGCAGTAAATACATGAAACACACTGGATCAAACTCATGCCCAGGTATGACTCTGAGCTGTCCTTGTCTTTCATTAAGATGCCCTTGACCAACTATGTCAGCATAACACAGGAAGTTATTGGAAGCGTATTTGGCACTTGACACGTTTGTTGCAGAATCAGCAACATAAATCTTTCAATCCACTGTCTTGAGTTGCTGTACTGTAAGGTGTGTGTTCTATCATCGCAACAGGAATCACTTTCTGAAAGACTGGAGGAGGGAAAACAAACCACAATTGCATGGTAAATCCATCAAGGAATGACACAGAGGAGCTCGGCCAGTTGAATCAGTACTGCATGTATCCATTTCCCATTCAGCAGAATTGGCTGTTTACCTTGTATCTACCAACCACTACTAGACTGCCTATGCATCTCACAGTTCTTAATGTAGTTCTCCTATAGAAACCCTGTAAAAGCCACAGACGTGCCATTGTCCCCCATTTTATACAGGCAACTGAGGCCTAAATTTAGGAATCTGCTAAAACAGAGGCAGCAAAACACCAGCTCAATCTCCAATTGACCCTTCCCCTTTGTATTCTCTTCTTGAAAGACTGAATCCTTGTCTGGGTCTGGAGAAGAGTATTTCCATCCATGACTCTTTCAGTCTGCATATGCCTTACTGAACATACAAATATAAAAATGAGCAATTAGTCATCTGAGGCATACCAATATGTACCTATCAGTTCATAAATTTATCAGCTCATATGAGGTAACCACAGCCTTTTGATTTAATATCCCATCTTTCCTTCTATGCTAGAATGCATGGAAAAAAATGCCCATCTGATTATAGTTACCTAATTTAATGTGAAATAATCCCTATATAAATTTACTCCCTCCTTGCCTCTTGCTGTCCAAGAAACACGTTAGACTGCGTCCTGCTCAGAGGCTGACTTTGCAAAGGCACTGCCAAGGCACCCAGTCACACCAGTGCCACATAGCCACACCAACACCACAGCTCAGCTCAATGGCAGCTCCTTTGCTCTTGAAAGGGGGGCTGTTATTGTTGGAAGTGGAGAGGAAAGGGTCTAGCAGGGAATCACCTCCCTGCTGGGAAGGGTCCCTTGATACTTCTCATTGTGCTTGACAGTAGTTAACTTGTTTGGTAGCACAGCAAGTGCATCCGCTGGAGTGTTGGTCATTTTACTCAGTATAAAATCTCAGTACAGATACTTTATAGTCACTGAGAATTTTTTTACTCACATATTAAGGCTCTTTTCTTTCCAGGATACCTCTGCTCCTGTGTTTGGAAAAGTCCCCTTTTGCTGTGGTTGCTGTCTTGCATTTTTGCTCTCTTAGTATTTCTGAAGAAGACTGTCAGAAGCACTCTGTGTTGGTCTTGTAAACCAGGGTTTACATATGCTCTTGTCAAAGAGCAAGCCAGGGTTGTCTGGCTTTGAACACTCCAAAATGAAACAAAAATAAAGATTTGCAAAGTTAAAATATTCTAAGGGAAGTGGGCAAAGAATTGGTCCCAGGAAGACTGCAATACAGGAATCCCTGGATTCCTAGACAAAACCTGTCTAAATGAGTTTGTGGTCAACACTTGAAACAAGCAATTGGCCCTCCCATCAGCTCTTACAACAGCCCGATTATGGCAGCGCTCCATGTGGCTGGCACGGAGAGCTCCTCTGTGGCTTCTGCTGGCAGCCTGACGTGTGAAGGTGCGGTAATACATTAACTGTGCACAGCAATATGGAAACCACTGTTTCTTTTGATTCTACCTGGAATGCTGTTTTTTTTCTACTCAGCATGTAAACATGTGAGCAAACGGAGAATGGTTTAAAAAGCAGCAAGCGTGATTAAAATGCTTAAAGGAGGGGAAGATGCTGTTCAGCTAGGCAGAAGTGAGAGGGAGGCAACTCAGAGGACAAGGGATTTGTTCAGGGAGCCAAAGAAATATTTGTCTGGAAGCCATAGGAGAAAATAAAGAAAAGTATGCTTTATAATAAATATCAAGAGGATCTTTTATCACTGAGATCTAGCAGGCTGGGAAATATTTTCTTCAGGGAAGCCCTGGACTTTAAAGTCTAACAGAGATTTTCTAATAGCTAAAGAATAAATACATGCATAGAGTAATTAAAATAGTATTAGATCCTCAGGCAGAATGTATAAATGAAATAGGAATATCACTTTTAGTGCAGCAAGTACTATACAGCACTGAAAACCTATTGAGACAAACCTAAACTGCTGTCCCATGGTCAGCCACCTACAGTCTCTGATCAGTGACCTTGTCAGCAAAAAGTAAAGGGTAGAAATTAAATGAGTCAGTACCAAATCAATAAGAAGGTAGAGGAAACACAGAATCTTTGACACTAAATTAATATGTTGATCACTTTTAGTTGTCCAGCTCCTTTTAGAATGTGGAAATAGCTGGTGTGCAGCTCCATAATGCAAGGAAAGCCTACTGCGTGCTTTCTTGCACCTTTAAAATTACAATTACAAATTCTACTTCACAGTTACTGATTGTATTTTATTACTAGTAGCAGCATCAGCAGCCGCAATGGTTGGTGTTACAACAGCCTTGACAGTCACAAATTGTATGCCCTGGCCTGCTGCACATTGCACTCTATAGGTACACAGTAACAGATAGAAGAGTTTAAAACCTTGATATTATTTGTAAAATTTTGATTTGATTTAAAATTTGCTGTCTTCCAACAAAGATTTGTTTGTGTGCTTTCTTTACCACTGTGAGGAACGTGACTACTCACAATGTGGAAGGCAAAGCATATGCAGGATGAGAATCAGAAACAAGCAAGAGAGGGGAGATGGAGAATATTAGCATCCCTGAAGACTTTATTCACTTTAGCCTCTTTGTAATGTGAAGCTTTATTTACTGCCAAGCCCCTCCACAGTCAGAAAACATGGGTGAAGACCCCGAGAATGTTTAGATTGCCTTAAAACTTCTGAGATTTAAAAATGGCTGCACAGTTTGGCTTCTGTTGCTTGGCATCTGTTTTTGAGCCTTGCAGTGCGTTTGCATTACATTGTCAGGCTTTCCCCTGCAAATGGAAGAATTAGAAATCTACTGTTAAAATAAAAAGTGAGAGAGTCATGTGATCATGTGCCTCCAGGAGCAGAGCCTTGGAGAAAAAGCCCACCATAGACTCACAATAAAATCAGGAGAATTAAAAACACCAGACTTAAGGACCTCATCCAAGCTTTCTGCTGTGCATATGGAAACCCGGGGTGTTGTCAGGACTAGTTAGCTAATGTCATAAAGCACTCAGAAGAGCAACGTTAGTTATTATTTAGGAGGAAACCAAAGTGTAAAGTGTTTTACATATAAATCTGCCCTTTAGAAGAGGAGCATTAAAAGTGCAAGATTGAGCTCTGGATTACTGAAGGGTAATAAAGAGGTTTTAAACACAGCCATAACTCATTCTGCATGAAAATGACTCAGCAGTGCCTTGACCAAGCTAGAAACAGGACTTCTGGAAGCGATTAGGAGTGGACTGTGTCCCATCATGCCTTCCCTTACTAATCTGCTTGGGATGGTGGATGCACAGAGCAGGCCAGTGGAAAGAGCTAACCTCAGAGCTGAGCAGACAGGACAGCGGCTCTGCACCTCTGCAATCAGCCTGTTTTTGACTCAGGAGCAGAGTGCAGCACAGTGGCTCTGTTGGCATTTACAGTTAATGCCTTGCAAAAACATGGTGGGGCCATCCTTATGCCTGCCTAGCAGTGATTTCAAGGGTTTCAGACTAGCTATAGCCTGGCTATATGGACTGAACAATCCCACTGGCAGTCAGAGCCCATCTGAAGCAGTCCTGGAGCACCTCTGCTCGTTTGCTTTCAGGCAGAGTGATACAGTTTGTGCAACTGAGACCAGGCTGCAGTGCAAGCAGAAACAAGGGAGTGGGCATGATGTTGAGTTTGCCTTCAAATGGGACTCCTGAACTGAACCAACCCACTGTCACAGGCTCATCCGCACCTCTGCTTGGTGAACATCAGGAATGTCAGCTCCAAGGGCAGAATATTTTAGCAGAAGGCTCTATTTGAGTCTTTCAACATTGTCCACTTTTGGGTCCATAAAAACATGGCCAATGGGGGTGAGGACTTGGTGACAGCAAGCACAAGCCTGTTGACAAAAGCTTTGCTTTTTCGTTGCACCTTTTGTAGGCTCTTCAGATTTGCCAGCTATTCCCAGCTAAGAGCCACTGCATTCAGTCTTTTGGACCAGATCTGTGAGAAGCAGTGCTCTGCTCAGTTTGGTGGCAGTAGAATAATTCACACACGTTGGAGCATTCATTTCCTGGCTTTAGCTGCTGTAAAGCTGGACCTGTCTTACATGCTGCATAACTGCTTGGAACTCGCTGGTCCATTCCCCTTTCAGATGCAACGTGAAGAGGGTGCTGTAACTTTGTTAGGAGAGAATTTAAAACAAACAAGCTGCCCCTAACTGCAGTTCATGTGTATGGTTATGATTTTAAATTACAAACAGGAGGCTACTTGGCTTTGCATGGCAAGCATTGTCTGGCAGTAGATGGTCTCCTCTGATCTCCCTGAGCCTTGGATTGTTGCTGTGAGATTGTGTCACAACTAGTCATTAATTATTTCATCAAAAGCTTATTTTTCTCATTTCCTCATCATTATTTCCACCTAGTTTCTTATAAATTGAATCCAGTTATTGGCAAGGCTGTTTCTCCCCTAAGTGGGATTTGGGCTTTGTGGAGAAAAACATTTACCTTAGAAAAAATGTACTGTTGACACACATAGCTCACGTGCCTATGTATACATACACTGAGCAAGAAATTACTGTGTATGTGTATAAACATTGCTCTGATCCTCTTTGTCCTCCAGTTTATTCTGGAAGCAGATTCCCTTTCTTCCTACCTGTTAGTAAAGAGAAATATTGTCATTCTTACCATATGAATGAATAAACAAAGAAAAGCAGAGAAAGGAAAAAGAAGGTGAGCGCATCTATCAGGAGATTATAACAATATCTAAACCTCCTTGGGAGATACTAATTTTTTAAAGTGACACATTATTTCTGGAAAAACAGGTACCCCTCCTGGTAATGACAGCTCCAATAGACAAAAAAGGACAGCACTTCACATGGGAGATAATTACAACCTCAAGAGTGTTGGGAATATCAAGCCATAGAAGTGAGGGAGTAGTGAGGCAGCCAAAAGGTCCAGAAAGGAGGCTAAGGCAGTTCTTCTGTCACCCACCGCTGAGACAGAGCCACCAACCCTTATATCCCCTCAGGGGACAAAAACAATTTCCCAAGCACATTGTGAGCACCAGCCCCAAGCATGGAAGCTGTTGGGCCACAGTAGTCCAGAGGTGAGAGGGGTGCCTCAGGAGGGGCTCCTTAGGCATCCCCAGCAACTCAACAGCCTGGCTGCTAAACCAAAACAGCAACAGAAAGCTGTTGTACAGAAAGCTGCTGCTGCCACCCTTCCATAGCCTGGAGCTGGAGCTGGAGCAGCCCTGCCGTGGGAGTTTGCAGCAGTTTGCTGTACCTATGTAAGAGTCATCCTGGGGAACAGCCCAGCTGTTTTTGGGAAACACAGAGTCATCTCCTCACAATATGTTCAGCGTGTTGTGCTCAAAGCGGTGAGGAATGTCAGCAAGATCATTTCTGTGCCTGACTCAGCAATGGTGTGGTGATAAGCGCGGTTTGTCCTGCAGCTTGTGCTAAAGAGCGCAAGACCACAAGGACTCCAAGTCTTTCACAACACGAGCACAAGAACAGAAGAGCAGCGACACCGGGCCAGGCGAAAGGTCCATGTAGCTCCTGTCTCCAACAGTGGGCAAAAGCAAAATGCCTGGGGAAAATTACGAGCACAGGATAAGCACATACAATATTTCCCCTGAGTGCCCTCCCAGCCTCCAGCCATTCCCAGATTAGAAATTTCTGGAGCCAAGTATGTTTTTCTGTACTTAGAGCCCTGTGAGAAGCCCTGGGTTGTATCCTTCAACAGTCCTTGTGCTTCCCCTAATCCTTGTGCTCTCTCAAGACTTATTCTTTCTGATCTCTTAGTTATATGCCCTCCAGATACTCTTCACCCTCTTCATGCTGGATCTGTGCCTCTCCAAGCCATTCATCTGAATTTTCCACCCTGAATTTTCCTCCTTTCTTCGAATTTCACCACAGCTGATGAAGAAGGTGCCTAAAGCTCAAGGTCACCTACTGGGACTGTCCATCACTTGAAAGTTAACTCTTCCATGCTACAGACTCTCAAAACCTTTTGCTTCCAGGATACACATAGTGTCTCTTGTTCCCTCACCATCACCAGTTCTTTCTGACCCTGCAATTCTCTGTTCAGAGCTGGTACCCCTCTCTGAGGTTTATCTGTATTCCCCAAAAATCTCTGTGGATTATTTGGATTTCCCCAACATTATTAGTAGTAGTAGTATTAGTATTATTTTTGGCTTATTTGTAGCTGAACTGTTGATGAAAAGTGATGCAGCAATTTTCTTATGCTGTCACCTTATGTAACCAAAGCGTGTAACACTCCTGAGCAAGGTGGATTAAATGTACATCAGATTTCTGCAAAGTGTGAAAAAGACAAAAGCCTCAGTCTTTTTCCAGAAATCCCCATGCAGTCCTTCTTTTTGGCTCCCGAGAAAGACCCATTAAACTGTCTGCAAGCCCTTATTGGCAAAGACCCTGTTCTGAGGGTACATGACATGTAGAGGCCCAGTCTTACTAATTCAGAACTGACAGTGAGAAGATGAGTTCCCAAGGTCTGCCCCACGTGGCTCATTCCCAGAAGCAGCAAGTCATCCTTCAGTGCTAGGACAGTTGGGGAGGAGCCTATGTAAGAGATCACAGCTGTCCCTTTTGGGAAGGCGGTGTCCATACTTCATCCTGGAGTTCCCCAGTGATGAATCACCTCTCCAAGAAAGCTGTTCCCATCAGCACAGTAGGCTCAAAGAACAGCTCTTGCACCCATGGCAATGTCAAGCCTCTGCTCTCTATGCTTTCTGTTGGATTGTCATCAACTTTGACATGCAGAGCCCACTGCTGCTCTGCCTGGGGAAAAAAATACCAAGTTTCCTTACTACGGCTACAAGCTTTGAAACAGCACTTTCTGTCTCCTGGGGAAGATGGACTAATCCGGTGAATCAAAGGAAGGCTGTTATTCCTCTCACCCCTCATTCCCAGTGGAAATGGAGGAGGTCAGGGAAGGTGATACAATTTTTCTTACTTTCTTCACCAGTAATCAGAGTGAAGGATTGAGTCTCATGAGCTCTGGGCAATTTTTTCCCCATCCACATGCTCCAGGGATACTCATAAAAAGTTATTTTTTTGTCTGGCCTCTAAGGTTGAAGTCTATTGCTCATAGACTGGTAAACTCTGGGCAGAATTCTTGTGAGCACCTCCACATTCCCCTGTGCTGCTACTGAGGTGTAAAGGCCACTTCTGCATAACTGCAGGGAGCATGTTTAATGCCCATCACTCTCTGGCTTCTCACAGCCAGTAAGTGTGTATCATTTCAAGTGGTGTTCTTGTGAGCTCCTGAGTGGTGTCCTGCCAGAAGATACCGTAATTTAGAAAAGCAAATAGTGAGGCAAGCTTCATCTTGCTGCACACACAAAGAAAAGACAGCATGTAGAAAAATGCGTAGCTTAACACTTGGATACTCCTCACAAGGACTCAGCACAAGAAGCCATCACAGCACTTCTGGAGTATGAAACTTCTGCCAAGCCAGGAATTGCTCACCTCTGCAAATGGCACTGGGAGAATCCATTTGTATTCTGCTGCAAACTGGTCCAGGGCTGGAGTGAGCTCTTCCACTAGAAGGAGCACACAAAGCACAGAGGAAGGCTATTATCAACATAAACAGAGTTTTATTTTGGCTTTGCTGGTTGTTGCCCATTTGTGTCTGGTGTGAAGTCATTGTCCTGCAACTAACAGCAGGCACACTCGTGCATGACATTATCAAAGCAGAAGATGTTGTCACGCTCCACTGGAATTAGAAACCTTGCCAGGAAGGGGAATGAATATTTTTAAATATGGTGTTGCTACATCCCTGTGCCTCTGCAGAGCAGGAAAATGTTTTAAGGATTCTTACTTAACCTCTCTATCACCGTATTAACAAAAAAAAAACGTTATTTCACAGCTGAGATTTATCTGTGTAAAATGTTGGAATAAAAAAGGATACTTAAAACCCAGATAATGCAAATATGTAAATCAGCCACTGGCTGGAAATGTTTCACTCAGTTCTGGCTCCCCAGCACAAGGGAGACATGGAGTTCCTGGAGTAAGTCCATTGAAGGTCTTCTACAACGATTACGGGTCTGCAGCACCTCTCCTGCGAGTAAAGGCTGAGGGAGCTGGGCCTGTTCAGCTTGGAGAAGAGAAGGCTTGGGGGGATCTGAACAATACATATCTGAAAGGAGGGTGTTGAGAGGTTGAGATCAGACCCTTCCTGGTGGTGCCAGGAGATAGGATGAGAGGCAACAGGCACAAACTAAAATACAGGAAGATCAACCTGAACACAAAGAAGAACTTCTTTACTGTGAGGGTGACTGAGCATTGGAGTCTCCTTCGCCAGAGATATGCAAGAGCCATCTGGACACAGCCCTGATCAATGTGCTGTAGGCGACATTCCCTGAGCAGGGAGGTTGGACTAGATGACCTCCAGTGGTTTCTTCCAGCCTCAACCATTCTGTGATTCTGTGAAAAATGTTATTACAGCATTCCCCTCCACCCACACTTTTATTCTATTGATTCCTTTAAATCATTCATGGTTTTTAAATTATATTCAATATTTTTAGTAGCCATTATAGAGACTGTGAGTTCCTAGGGGCAAGAACCAGTTTTTCCCCCAACATTTAATACAAGGTTGGCTAATAGCCAAGACAGCTGTTCCCATATAAATATTAATGCTATACCTCAGCATGCCCCCTCTGATAGTCGTCAGGGCTGTCATTCACAACACACATCTCACCAAGAGATTTCCATGCACAGTGCTCCAGAGCCCTAACAAGCTTTGAGCAGACAACAGAACAGCCTGGCAAGCTGGCAGTGACAGCAAAAATGGACATTCTTTCAGCAAACCCAGAGATTCATACAATGTCTTCTAGAACAGCAATACATTATGGAAACACTACAGATCTGCATAATTGCACTCTACATGATGCCATCTACTCCGCACAGCCCACTGTGCTGGAATATGTGCACTGATCACCTAAGGTACATTGGGCTCCATTTAAAACACATTAGCACTAATCATAGCATCTTCTCACACTTCCTATGCAAGAACAAACACCAGGAGGAATGCATTGCTCTGCCCTCCCCCATGCACACGCAGAGACTATCATGCCCCACTCTCAACAGACCTGAGGCTCAGCATGATGTAGGTTATCTCCTTCTGGAGGTACCATCACTATACATAGCACATGGATTTAATTTTCAACAATCTGGCTGGTTTAATGGTAATTATTCTCTTTAAGAGTTTATAGTGAAACATTCATACCCCTAGACCAGCCTAGCTCAAAGGAGCTGTTGTTAGTGTCAATGCCATCAGCCTGTCTCAGAAGTCCCTTTTCTCCAGTTGCTCACCCTCCTGCTGTTTCCATAAAATATAGTTTGGACACTTTTGAGCTCCAGCTCGGAGCTCTGAGCTGCCACCAAAGAATGAATGTAACAGCAGTGTCAAAGCTTCTGCCACATTTCAGTCCCAAACCTCAACCACAGCAGGTGTATGAGCTGCAGGAGCCCATGGGTGGCTCACCCCCCCAGCATGCACCAACCCATGCAGCTGAGCCATAGGCATCTCTGTAGCTTCCCTTGGTGTTGGCACCACTCACTGAACAAGCTCTGAGTTTTCCACACAAAAGAACAACTGGGTCTCTCCTTCCCTCTTGCATTTGTTTCTTGTGGACTTTAACAGCAGCTGTACATGTGATGCTGGGGAGTGTAAAAGAGATATAAATTAGCAAAAAGTCAGAGTTCTGCTAGGAAAGGCACACAGAGACCAGAAAGCTAAAGGGACTTCACAGTGCCAGTGGCGGTTCTGAGATAACTCATTTGAAAGCAAAAGGGGAATAATATATTTTAAGTGAGGCAGAATTACACAATTAGGAGGGGCTGGGATATTACCCAGTTGACAGAGTCAGCAATAGAAAAGCGCTTTAGCCATGCATCAAGAGAGGAGCTGGACACATTTTTGGAAATGTAGCAAACTGAGGCATAAAGCCACTAGCCAAGGTTAAATGAGCTGGAAAAGAAAGTGATTTATATGTCCTGGGCTGATAAGGGTAGGTCTTGCTGGGCTTTCAGGGCAGGTTTTCCCTGTTTCTTAGTGTTCCTACGTTGCTTGCGTGTTCAGCTGACATTGATGAGATTAAATGTAACAGCTTTGGAAGTGTGAAGCCATCGCTGCTTTGAAGCTCTCAGTCAATGGGACAAATCCAGATTGCATTCTCTGAAGCCAATAGGGAAAGGCTGGACTGAAACCAGTTTGGCAAAAATCAGTATTCAGCCTTTGATAACACAACACTGTTTAGCTTAAGCAAAGGTAGCACATTGGATCTCTTGAGAATACATTGCTCATATCAGAGAAAGGGTATTCTTTCTTTCCCTGTAATTGAATACTTTTCTGATGCAATATTCAGTGGCAACCAATGTACACATAGGCTGAAATGCAAGCTGAGGGAGGTTTTACAGCTCCCATTGGTTCAGCATCTCGGAAAAGTCAGTTCTATGCATATGCACGATCTCAACAGAGAAATGAGGATGAAGCATCCTGGAGAGGAGACCAGCTCTTCCCTGGCTCACATATTAACGTGTCCATTCAAGCACGTGTATCACGTCCACCATCGCCACCTACTACGTGGAAACTGAAATCCTTGAACCAAGGGGAGGGAAGAGGCGTTATGGGGGGTGTCTTCCCTCTAGACTGGGTAATGGAAATGAAAAGTTACGTCAGGCTTTCTCAGAAGCTAATCTGTGGTTTTCAAGCCAACATGGGCTGTTGCCAATGACAATTTGATTTCTGCATCAGCAGATCAGGTGGGGCAGAGGGAGTGCATGTATCAGCCCAATGAGACAAGGCTGAGCTCTCTGTCCACTGCCTCCTTCCCCTTCGCTTGGCGTCTCCCTGTCCTGAGTTTGGGGGTGTGGGGTGGAATTAACCTCTGTCAACCAAAATCCAGATGTACTCATAGACAGCTGTGGGCCACTCCTGGCTGGCAGCTGTGGGTTTGCTGAGCAGCTAGGGGATTCTGTAAAGCCAGGAGGGCAAGTAACTGTGTAACACACAGGGTATTTACTAAAGCCTAGACAGATGAGATAATGGCTGTGATACACACACTAATGATACGCATTGATCTTCTCACTTCCATTACAGAACACAGCAAAGCAGGCTGCCTCTTGCCTCCTGGAATACTGTCCTGATGTGCAGACTCTACCAAAGGTCTAGGGATGGAGGCCACCATGGTTAAAATTTGGCAGCCTGGCAGGGAAGTGGGTGTCATTGTAGTACACTGCACTGAAATGGACAGTCTTGCTTCAGGTGAGTGCTGTGGGCTCTCCACACACACCAGCCTGACTGAGAGTCCTCCCTGCTGGGTAGGTTGCTCTGCAGAACTAGCTGAAATGGATGCAAGAGTTATTTTGTCAGAAGGCAGCGTCAGACAAGAGTCACCTACTGATACAAAATGTGGTGTGGGATTAGAATCTGTATTCCTGGCCCTTGGAGCTGAAAAAGAGGAGATGGTGAGAGCTGCACAGGATGAATGTCATACCCTCAGCCTGGGAGCCCGGTTACGCTGCAAGCACAGTGGGGCAGGATGTCCGGCTACAGCTGCTGGTTAGCTCTGAGGCAATCTGAGGGTATTTTTGCCATCTTCTTGCATAGCATAAACTCTCCCTAAAGCCTGAGTTTGGCCTTATTTGTCCTGATCAGATTTTGGATCAAGCCCAGAAGATATGAAGGTTTCAACAGAAGATGATTGGTACCAGAGCTGCTCAAACAACCCTAAAGCTGCACTGAAAGGAACTTTTACAACACAGTCCGTATTTTATAAATGAAGCAAGAGATAAGAAGAGATAATAGATTAGAGAAGATAAACCCCATACTGTCCTCCACAGTCCATGATACTGATCATACCAACCTCCAATTGGCTTTAGTCCAAGACACTCAGACCCTGCGTGGTTGAGGCCCAAGGTAAAGAATCTGGAGAAACATCATGAAATGAATGCAGATCTCCTGGTTGTGGCCACAGTTCCTGAATGATAAACACAATTTCCCTCTCAACGAAACACTGAGAAGATAGTAACAGCCTTAAATAAAACTATTACAATAAAACACTTAAGCACACCAGCTTGCAATGGGATTGTGACTGAAATGAGGAAGGTGAGAACTTGCAACGCACACCAATAGGTCATGGCTGAACAAATCTCAGAAGCAAAAATTGCTACCACCACCCCAGGTTTAGCCTCTGATGCTTACAGTGTAGAATTACAACTGCAGTAGCAGAATTGCATGACTAACATAAAAAACAGCTATAGAAACACCTTACAATAAATAGCACATACTAACGGCAAATTGATCAACGCCTCTTATCTTCATGACCTTGACACACGGATGCTCCAGCTATGCTCAACGCTGGCTGTACTCCCAGCTGGGGAAGTCTGTAGCACCTGACTGAAGAAATTCTGCATTTCCTGACTTGTTCTTAATTTTCATACATATTGGAAGAAACACCTATATATAATGAGGTACATTTCCCTCTCTATCTTAAAACAAAA